AAATTGAGGTAGTTGTGCTAAATTTCCTATGTCATTTCTATCTTTTAAGATTCTATGATATATATTAATTTACTTTGAATTATTTAAGTTCAGACAGTTGAATTTTTTCCTTCAAGTTAATTTTCAGAGATGTTAAAGCATAATAAAATTTTGTTGTGGAATCTCCCATGTGCCAAAACTCCAGGAACCTCAGTGAGAAGACCCATGGCCTTGCAGTTGAATATATACACTTCTTTAATGTAAATCAAAGTCTATTACAATGCATCCTGTTACAATGAAAATCTTCACTTATTTTGGAAACCCGCTTAATTACTTTGAGCAACACTATATACAACCGGACAGATAAAATGAAGTCACTGACAACTCCTTGAAATGTTACAGCTAAATTACAAAAGAGTAACTGGATAATGTAGACCACCCCAATAAAGTATTTATTCTCTACATTGTACTCAACATTAGATGACATATAAAATTCAACTGGGAAAGGGAGATCAAAAAAACTGTGCTTTTTCCTTGTGCCAGACTCAAATAATGAGATGAGGGTAAATTCCATGTGATAAAGTATTTAACTCATTGTGCTCTTATACCTATTCCCAGTTATAAACCTTAAAATTTGTGCCTCTGGGTACTATTTCTTCTAACTCAAGTACAACATATCAGGCGTTCCTTAAAATCATCTTCTATTAACTATAAAACACATACTCAGATTAAGAACTCTACAAAATCATCTCCTTTTAGAAAACATCAACTATTCAGGGATCTTTATTTTTAAAGGGTAAATCAAATAAGACATAGCTTTCATTGACCCAAACATGCATAATCCATCCTTAATATAAAATGCACCCAATTGGTAATTACATATGAAATACAAAGGGAATGCAACTTTATGTATGTAAAATGATTGCTCACTATGGCAATTTAACAATCAAATTAATAGACATTGTTAAAAAAAAATTCAATGTTTTAAAGCCAACTACCTATAGTAAACCAAGGGAAATTCTGATATGGAGATATGGAATAGTTTGACTCAAAAGCAAAGGCTAAGGCACCTGCTATGAATTTAGAACAATAAATTTCATTTTTAAAGGTACAATAAAATAGAATTAGTTAACCAAGAGGGAAACAAACACAGGGGCTGATGTCCTGGGTGAGAAAGGCAGGTTAACAATGCAGATAAAAATGTGCTGGACCAAGGTCGACAGATTCCTTTCCTACGCCAGAGTAGTCAAGAACCATCCTAACCACTCCTCTCACTCACTCTCCCCCATACTCAGGGCTATCAGAAGCTTTGAGGTTCATACTGTATAGACTAGGTAGTAGATTTCCCTTCTGCTCCTCTTAAAACAGCTTATTTTAAAGAGAGATCCTGAGGCAATCAGCAAAGCAAACAAGCAGCTTTCTCTCCAATTCATTAACACGCAGACACCTCTCAGGTTTTTCTCATCAACCTTATGGCTAAGTATTTAAATAGCCAATACTTGAAATTTTCAACAGTACCAGTAAACCTCAAACCTGCCTTATCACTCACCCTTACCATTAGTAAAAAGAAAGTCTGATCAATCATAACCTGTAAAATCATACAACAAAGGGAAGACTAAGGACTCATTCTTATCAGTAAATCCATTTAATTCCCCTGACACTTTAGTCTGATATATCTAGTATCCTAACAGAATTTTAACCATGTATCAAGAAAAGCATTTCCAAACTAAGTGTAACTTTTCAGTTGATGTGCCTTTTTGGTATTAAAAGTGCTATCAACATGCTAGGACGTCTTACGGCACACTGGACTCAATGGTATGTCCTGGTGAGGCATCCATTCTTAGTAGTATTCCCCTAAAGTGTTGTTCACCATAATAGACCCCTTCGATATATTACAGTGATTCTGGTGAAATCAATGGTGATATTAAAAATCCTTCCCTGACTTGACTCCACCATGGCTACTTTTAGTGAAACTGAAGTGACTAAGCTATAAAACGCTCAACCAAGTTGTTTTCTTATGGCATCCTTGGTTAGTATATTCACTCATGCACAATCCAAGGTAGTGTAATAGAAATAACCATGTTAAAATAGACATTGTGGATGTAAGCATCTCCCTTTATATCAGGCATTTAGAAGCTTTTTAAAAAATTTTAGGTGCTAAAAGATCGTGGGAAAACTAGGCTAGCCGTGTAGTTGTTCCATTTATAAGTACCTTATTACAGGACAGTTACAAGACCCTTTGTGGGAGTGTGCTTTCAATTCAAGAAACAGTAATAAAGTGCCTAGCTATATAAAAACTGTAGGATTCCAAATTTTAAATTAAGCTAACTGCATTTACACATTTGGGGTAACAAAATCTAGACCCTGTCTACATAGATTTAATCTAATTTTCTATTTTTTATCTTGTACTAATAATCACATTTTAAAAAAAAACCAAAAACTTACTCTTTACTGACTGAATAAGTAGGGTCCACTACTGTAGCTTAACAATCAAATTTTATTGCTTTATTCATGTGGTGCTTTTGCAAGGCACTGTGGTATGGACTAGAAAACTTGGAATGACTTGTGAAGAAACCTTGGAATGACACATGAAGGATGATATGAACAGTCATTCTGAGGCAGGATGCTTTACTGAATTGTTTTTAACCAGGATACCAAACATCAGGAATGAGTTCAAGTTAAAATTCACAGGAGAATGGAAGCATCTTAAGGTCAGTCACTTCACATGCCCATCCTGATACTTTGAATAATCTGGAAAATTGCTGTAAAAAGAAAGAGCAAAAATTAAAACATGCTTTGAATAAAACAGGCCTGGCAACCGACAAGTATTAAAGTAGTTCAAGAATCCAAGAACACCCTGACAATTACTTGCAAATACTATATAACTTCAAGTAGTAAGAAGACAGGCCTACTGTGATAATACAATTACTTTTCTATGCCTTGGCTTTCCTGAATTTTATGGCTAAATGGCTAAGAGAGTTATCAAATAAATAGTGATTTTTAAGAAAGAAATTAAAGTACCAAAGTGAACAGGGTTTTCTAGCATACAAGTATTTTGGTTTAACCCTAAGTATCAGGTGTACTTGGCCTATAATATATGCGTATTTCCTCATTCTCAAGAAGCTGAAATTCAATTATCTTTAGGTTACATAAACTGCTTGGCTCTTGGCCATTTATCAGGAAAGCTTCTCCAACATTCAGGAGACAGACAAAGGGAAATGGTTAAAAGAAACCTCCAGTGACTTTAAAACGTCAGGACAAGCAGAAGCATGTTATTTCCATATTAACAGCTTGCATATTAAAATAATAAATGAAAAGAGGAAAGACATTCTGTAATTCATTCGCAGAGACAAAAGTCCACCTACCACTGGAACCGCAGTCTGCCTTGATAACTAATTCTTCCTACCATATGTCAAACATCTCTTTCATTAAACTGAAAACTTCTGTCTCACACATTAAATTGCCAATCAGGTACAAATTCCTCTACAATGGATTAATTCCTTGCACTAGCTTTACTTTACAAAACATAACCACTTTTGACTTTAAGACATTAGATTTTGAAACACGTTAGATTAAGTTCGAATAATTCCATGAACGTGAAATTCATAAGCTTCTCTTTCGCAAAAGTTGCTAAACATTGTAAATTCTCGTTCTGGGCGGTGTTTTTTTTTGTTTTGGTCTAATGTTTTTCAACTCGATAATTAGTGAGGACCTGACCTCCTTTTCTGTTCTGTGAGCGCAAAATCAAACGGGGAGAAGTTTCTAGAGCACCACCCTCTGTACATACGTGGGACAAGTAATTTGGTTCGGACGAAAGAAAATTATAGGACCTCCCGGCAGGTGGGTTGAGAACTGCGCGGGTAGGACTCACCACTCATGGGTCACCACGTCATCCCCAAAGCCGTCATCCAACACCCAACCCGACGGTCGACCCCAAAACACTTACCAGAACCACAAACAACAAAAATGAAGAGAGCCAATAACCAGGGTCCTACAGACGCCTTCTCTTCAGGAGCATTTCTCTGCAAAATGGAAAATCCGCGGTTTGCAATGTAAAAAACCCGCCCTGAGCCCGGGCTCTCACCGCCCGCACCCCGGGCCAGGCGGCCGGGTCCCCGCACGTCACAGGTCTCTCCCGCGTTCCCGAGTCGACCAGCTCCCGCACCCCTCTGTGAAGCTACCCGCTGAGGGCCAGCTCGCGGCCTCGGGCCCGAGTCAGGGCAAGAGAGCTCGACGCGGCCCTGGAGCCCGGGCCTCAGAGCCGGCTGCGGGGCGGAGAGGCGCCCGCTCTTCCCTTACCGAGGTCTTGGCGACGTTGCCGCGCTGCGTGATGTTCTTGCTGTGCTTCTCGTTGGCCATACGGATCCGCTGCTTGGCGACCATCTTCGCGGCGCCACCACCTGTCCCGGCCACCCCTCGGTCTCGCTCGTTCGCTGCTTCTCGGGCCGCTGAGACCGACGCTCCGCTCCCGGTGGCCGCGCCGCCAGAGCGAGGAGGCTCTCAGGCGGGGCGCTAGCTCCGACCGCTGGGCCTGGGCGAGGCGGGCTCCGGGGTCTGAACCCTAGCGGGGCGCGGGCCGACTGACGACCCCGGACTGTCCGGTCGAGCGAGGCGGGCGCGCGGGAGGTGCAGAGCAGGCCGCCAGGACAGTCTCGCGCTGCCGCTCTGGTCGCCGCCGGGAGCGTGGAGTGTAAGAGGAAGGAAACGAACACAACGCAACAACGAGACAGTGCAGCCCGTCGCCTCAAACTGCTTCGCGATCGGCTGCCAACGTCAGCACTGGACCGGCCCCGCCCCGCGGAAGTGCAGGCTCCGCCTGCTGAGGAAGACTGAGAGGGAGGGTGAAGTCCGGCGCACCGATCTTAGCCCCGCCCCCCCACGCTCCGTAAAGCGCGGCCCCAAAGCTGCGCGTGCGCGCGTTAGAGGTCTTCTCAGCGTCTCGCTCTGACCGGAAGTGAATTGTCCCCGAGGCGCATGACTCAGGAAACACAAGTTCGCCGTCTCCACGCCGGAGGAGACGTGTTGGGGCCGGGTTCGGCCCTCGTGAACTCTGACCCAAGTGTCTGAGTTTCTCTTTCCGGGACAAGATGGCGCCGTCCACGCCACTTCTGACAGGTGAGTTCTGAACGAGCGAGCGACTGTTTCTTTAGAGCAGAGTTTTTTCTTTGACCTCGGGCATCACACGAGAAGCCTTGGAGTCAGATCCGCCTTTTTTTGTGGGTTGCAGTAGAGCCGGAGGGCCTTTTGTATTTCTTGATGTAGCGTGGCAATCGAAAGTTAGGCCCTAGCATCGGGGCTCCAGCATCCCGCCCCCGGCATTTGCCCATCCATCATTCTTTCCTAACACTTCTAAGTTCTACGGGAATAGCGAAAGGGGCGTAAGAACAGAGTGCTAGTGAAATTTGTTAACCTGGGTTTGCAATACCGGTGGTACTCTAACGCTTACCAGGTCATAGGCCCTGTTGACAGTGTGAAGTCATTTACCTCTAAAGGAAAGTCTGTTGATACTAGAGTAACCTCGCACATTAAATACACCGAAATTTAACTGATGACAAATCCTATTCTCTTTGCTTTAATGCAGTTTGTGGGACTGAGTGGAGCAGTGCTACTGTAAGTTTTAAGTAGATGAGAGTGTGGTCTAGGGTAGTAACAATGAGCGTTATAAAGTAGCAACGTTAGAACATTATGGGATTCCAGAGGTTTTGAAGCCGAGGCAGAGTTTATAATGTTGGAGAAGATAATAAACTTACTCTTAGATAATATTGGCGATGACTCTGGATTAGAGTAGTGGCTGGAGTCTCATATATGAGCTTCAGGTAAGGGGAGGGGAGTTGGGAGAGAAAAGAAGGCTTAAGTTACCAATAACTTAATAACATGTAGAGGGAAAAAGAAACCATCGAGGAAAGGGGCTACTTCCCCCTGAGACTTGAAAGGAACCTTAAAAAACTTTTGCACCTTTTGCCATTCTGCATTTGGAGATCTTTGTTGTCAGTGTTAAGCGCACCAGGCTCATTCATATTCAGTGTGGCTACCACAGTTCTTTCATCAAACATTTGTCAAATACTGACTGATTTGTTAGATACCTTGCCAGGCAGGTACTGCCTAAAAGCGTAATTACCTAACTAAATGAATTTATTTTTCTAACTTCATAAAAGTAGCTTGTATGTTACTTACAATTTAGGAATACTGAGCTTTTAAAAATTGATTTAAATTTTTAAAAATTAATACATTTTTGAATGTAATCATTTTATCTTTTGACTTTGAAAATCCCTTTATAATCTTTTGAATTGCTCTTGTCATTGATTTTATGCCTTGCAACCTCATCCTATTTTGTTCTTCATCAATATTGAACTTCTTTAAAACCCTTGAGCTATGTATTTCCTTAGTCTAACAATATCCTCTTTCTCTTGATTTGGCTGACTTCTTTTTATCTTTTTAATTTTATTTTAGACATCATTACTTTATGAAGGCTTTCCTTAATCTTCCCAGATAGTCAGTGTTTCCTCAGGCTGTTTCTGTACCTCGTATATAGTTTTTTTTCTTCTCACTTATCACATAGAATAATTATCTACTTGTTTAGATGCTTTTCTCCCCTGGTAGACTATGAACTTCTTAATGGCAGGGATAGAGTCTTGTTCATCCCTGTCTTCTCAATACCAAGTACAGTGCCTGGTATACAAGAGATACTAAATATTTAGTGGAAGAATAAATTAATGAAAGATAACCCCTTTATTTGTAGTCAGACTAACCAAGAATGACAGTTTTCTTACAATGCTTACAATCAAGGACTTAGGTTGAAATCAAGAGCTTAAGAGTTATCCAGTCAGTCTTCTCATTATATTCTCACATTTATAGCAGCTCAGAGAAATTAAGTAGTGAGATTCACATCACAATTTGGTGAAGTTAGGATTATATTCAATCATTCAACCCCGTATTTCATTTTTCTTTCACTGGAACTCTTTCACTGGAACACACTGATTAATCTTTTAAACATTCTGAGTATAGGTATTTCAGTCAACAATGGATCCTTTTACTTCTAAAGTGTTTTTTAAATTTATGGGGTTTTGGAGTTGTTAATGATTTTAAGATTACCTAGTAAATTGTATCAGTTATTATTTTTCATTGAAGATGACAGAAAGTTAAAACAAGTGAAAGGATTAAAAAAAAAAATCTCATGTACCTTAAAGCTTTTACTGTTACATTCAGGTATTCTCATGACTCCAAAAATCTGTCTTTCTTCATCCCTAAGCTCTTGCTTTCTTTCAGTTTAAATTTATTCTCAGGATAATGTTCTAATTGGGATCTCCAGTTTACATTCAGCCAGCTCAGCAGCCCCTAAGGAAAGTGCACATCTGTGCCAGTGTTAAGGTTGGCTGTCTTTGAGTTGGCTTGGGTCTTGTTTGTATTTAATTAGTCAGATTTATTTGTTTATTTAAGAGTCTTTTTCTTTCCCCATGTATTTATTTATTTTTGGATGTGCTGGGTCATGGCTTTTCACAGGTTTTCTCTAGTTGTGGTGGCTTCTCTTGCTGCAGAAAGTCTCTAGGTGCCCGGGCTTCAGTAGTTGTGGCACATAGGCTTACTTGCTCCAGGACATGTGGAATCTTCCTGAATCAGGGATCGAACCCATGTCCCATGCATTGGTAGGTGGATTCTTTTTGTTGTTCTCCCAGTTTTATTGAGATATAATTTACATACAGCACTGTATAAGGTTAAGGTGTATAGCATAATGATATGATTTCTATCACAAAATGATTATCACATTAAGTTTCTCATATACAGTTTAAGGAAATGAAAATTTTTTTCTTGTGATGAGAACTCTCAGGATTTACTTTTTTTTTTTCTGTTTGGTTTTTTAATTAACTAATTTTTATTTTTTATTTTTATTTTTTTTCCATCTTTTTTTTTCCATTTATTTTTATTAGTTGGAGGCTAATTACTTTACATCATTACAGTAGTTTTTGTTATACATTGAAATGAATTAGCCATGGATTTACATGTATTCCCCATCCC